CCATTGTAAGGGATTGACACTCACGCTTATATCTCACCTACCGCCAACCATTCCATTGTAAGGGATTGACACTCACACTTATATCTCACCTACAACTTAAAGTACGGAGAATATTTTGTGGCATCGCACATATTCTAGCCTGGTTCTCCAGCTCCAAAGTCTAGACTTCAACTACAGGAACAAACCTGCGCCCTTTTAATAAAGCATCAGGTGAATACATCTTTTGATATATTAACTAAGTTAAAATTACAAAAAAAATCAGGCCTATGGAACATTTTGTTATCTAAATGTAATAGGCCTTTGTTCAATAAATACATCATAAAGACATCAATAAATACATCATAAAGACATCAATAAATACATCATAGAGACACCAATAATTACGTTATAGCGGTGGAAAGTTTTCTAGGTAAAATATCATCATAATTATTACTGGTAGCATTTTTTTTGCACGACAACAGAAAACGTATCTTTTTTGTTAACTTTTAATGTTCTATTCCAGAAAGGTTAAGGATCTTTCAAACTTCCATCAAAGTCTAGATTTTCAATAATGGGAACTTAAAGCGACGTTTTTCTGAATTTTGAGGTCATTATTTTGATCTTGATCGAAAATATTGAACAATACACACATCCATGTTAAAGTTAGAATGAGTGTATAATAAAAACTATGTACTCTTGAAATGACGTGTCTTCGCTCCAAAAAGCGAGACCTCAAATGTCAACCAGATATTCACTGCTAAACTACTACAAAAAAATTCTTATTCGCACTTAAAAGTAACAAATGAGAATGATATTTAACTACGTAGGCTACCAGCACTGTTTCCACTCATGCTATTGGTTTTATAACTTTAAGACAAAAGCCCGGTAGATCTAGAAAAATGACCAAAATAAATTGAGTAATATTTATACATCTCTTAAAGAAGAAACGTTTTACTCTTCAATCAAATATAAATTTGTTCAAAAAAAACTTAGTGTGAATATAAGTGTATTCTGCATAGTACTTTTCAAGTATTAATACTTATAATCCGAGACAAATCCACAAGGACTTAGTCATACATTTACGAACTGAACAGTAGTTCTGGATCATACCTTTTGTTTTCTCTTTGTAACTATCATAATGATCAGTTACTTTTTCGTTCATTGCTAACAGTCCTAGTACACCTATGAGGTGAAGTTCGTCGTCAGTCTGCGGGATCCCGAAACGACCAGCTGGTGTGGGAATCGTGTTCATTTCCATAAGGTTAGTGAAACTCGAAGCTTTCGCTTCTGGCCTATGGAATCAATATTTTCACGTACGAGCCCCAAGCCACGTTGTATGTTTGACACGGTGTATATTTGTCTTTTCTTCTTGTCACAGCCATTTTTTTAACTATTCTACTCGGATATACACATACTGGCGCCATAGCTTCAGAAAATGTTGATAATATATCTCCTTCATATGTTATCACTAAAAACATACTCCAACACTATGGATTCTCCATAAGTACGAATTACTGCTCTAGGCTACAAAAATACTACATAAATTATTCATTGCCAGGTAGGCTATAAGAAATTTAGTCTGTGAAAAATGTTTATATTGATTCTCATACTCTCCAACATAAAATCTAATATAAGTTTTGTTTTTAGCGTAAGATATCAGATTGTATTTCAGACAAGGGTTTTTGAAGCGTAATGTTCCTGAACTATAGAGTAAAATATACTGTAAAACTTTCGGCTCGTGGATTTTATTGTTGTTATTTTTAGTGCAAAGCTACACAACGGGCTATGTTCCTGAACTATAGTATAAAATAAAACATAGCCCGTTGTGTAGCTTTGCACTAAAATAACAGCAATAAAATCCACGAGCTCAAATTTTTACAGTGAGGAATTGAACTCTGAACTGTAGAGTTATAAGTTAGCCCTTAAGTGAGCCACTAGGACTAAATCAACTGGACGTGAAAGAAACAGATAATACATATAACTTCATTCAGTAATTTATCTTAAAAAAATATGTAATACAATTAATAGAAAACAAACAGCATCGATGTGAAAACATTCATATAATAATGTAGAATTGTAATTTGATTCGTAATTTAATTATCCACAAAGCTACACAATGGGCTATCTGTGCTCTGCCCACCACGGGTATCGAAACCCGGTTTCTAGCGTTGTAAGTCCGCAGACATACCGCTGTGCCACTGGGGGGCAATAATGTAGAATCAGCCATAAGCTGTGAAGCATGGTATTAAACAGAAAATAGATTAATGCAAGAGTAATATATCTATAAATTACAAAATCGGGTCATTTGTTTGGTTTCTCATTTAATCAGTTCAAATTCTGTTTCTGTTTTTGTTTTTTTCTCTCTCTAACTCATCCTTGTGTAACTATAGGTTTTCCCAAGCTGTTTATTGATATTACCAGTTATATTATAGCTCCATGAGCTAGTCTATTGGCGAGTCTGCGTTATGCTTACGGATTTACAACGCTAAAATCCAAGGTTCTATTTCTCACAGTAGACAGCGCAGATAGCCCATTGTGTAGCTTTCCACTAAAATAACAACAATAAAATCCACGAGCTGAAATGTTTACAGTATATTTTACACTATAGTTCAGACAATGGACAGTATAGTATGATATAATATAGTATACCATGTGACGTCAGGTGGCGCGTTAGATACTGTTTAATAATATAAAACAAATAGAAAATTAGAATAGCTTTCCTTGTGCAATTTTGCGCTTAAGTATAAAACAGAACAAACAATTAACTTTATAGTCTTTGTTCTATGAATGGCAAGTTAGTTTAAAAAGGTTTATTAGAGTTACTTCTTCTCAGTCTTCATACCTGTCTGTTACTCTGGGACTCTTTGCTTTGTTCACCAAGATCGATTTCATCTACAGAAGAGGTTCCTGTGTCAACTGTTGTCACATAATTATGGACGTCTGTTGAAGAAACTGTTATTGTTACAGGATGCACCTTTGTAGAAGAACAATTGGTGTAGGCTACACATGTCGGACAGGTAGCGCATGCTGAGCATAGGTTACCACCAGATGGCGCTCCGTGAGTTACAATACTACCGTTCGATTTTCCCGTACAGCGGGGTTTTGTTGCTTCCAGTAGAACACGCAAGGAGGCTATGGCGTGCAGCTGAGACGCTTTCTCATCTAATTTTCCTGGTAGAAAATACGTTAAATAAGTGTTCAGACTTTTATTAAGTTTGTGACTTATTACAGTGCTAACCAACGACAATTATTTTAACTAACTATAAATATCTATTTTACTACCGAGTCAAAAAATTATTTTTGGTTTTAGATAAAATTTAATACTTTAAATAAACTCTCAGATACGTAGGAAAGACAAAAATAAAATATATTTAATATATCGAATAAAATATATTTCACGCAATAAAAAAAAAGAATAAAAAACTTAAATATAATTACCCAGTCACGTTCACTGGTATACGAACATCAAAACTCTTTATAGTTCAATTTATATTACCTGAACATATGATCGAAAAATCTTCCACGAAGTAATATACTATAATGTTTATTGTGATGAGAAATCATTGAAAGGGGAGCTTAACCTTGGACTATGTTGCAAGTCCATTATAAAAGACCAATAACAATTTTTATCAAATGTGTAAATAATTATAGGTAATATTGCTAGGATTCAACATGATTTATCGTGAATTAATTGATGAAAAGTATTCCTAAAAAAAAAGCGAATTAAATCGACTCATCACAGTTAATGTATGTTTGGTGCAAAAGTAGAAAAATATAAATCTTACTGTAGGACCGTTTTTAACAGAATATCTCAAAAGTGATTGTAGGAATAGATTTTCTTCTCAAATGTGCGCAGAACAATAATTCTGTTTGTTTGTAGTTAAACGCGAAGCTCTACAATGAGTTATCTGTGCCACGACGGGTATCTAAATCCGATTCTTAGCGTCATAAGCCTCCAGGCTTACCATTGAGCTACTGGGGGCTAGCAGTAATTCTCTGACATTTTTTTTTTCTATGCGTGTGGATCTTTCTTTTCTTTTCTTTTTAACACATGTCAAATACCATGTATAGCTTTCTATGTTACCCACTTACCATCGTGCAGGGGGTCGATAGAATGTATCATCAACTGTAGTAGACCTTGGCGAAATTTGCTGCCGGCATGAAGAATAGGTCGACTCACTCGCCTTCTTCCCAGCTGAAACAAAAAGAAAATATTGAACCCAAATCCATAAATCCCCATCAGAAGTTTGAGATATTGCAGTTAGAAAAAAAAGGGGGTTACTGGTTCTTTGGGTTAATTACATTATTTGGAAGAATCATTCAATTAAAAGAGAGAACCAAAACTACATAAAAATCCACATTCACTAAAATAAATGTAAACCAAACATAGTAAAATTTTCTAAAACTGAATATTTTTTTTTTGAAATTATCAAACTTAAACTTTCTACGTAAGTGGTTCAGCGGTAAGCTATGAATTGGGGTTCGATACCCGAGGGAAGCACAGCGCAAATAGTCCATTGTGTAGCTTTGCGTTTAAAACAGACTTACATTCACATCTTTCTTTGTAGTTCTTTTTTTTAATTAGTTTATTTTCATTAACTTAAGATTTTAAAAATATTCAGAAAACTGTTATTTTATTCTTATAGATGAGCACTAATTTCCGAAACGAAATTAATAATTTATATTAGGCCCATACAAACTTTAAACCGAAGTTAATATTAGATGCAATTTAAGTGATAAAGTTATTCAAACTGAATTAAATGTCAGGTTTTTGCCAATTAATTTTCTAATACGCCGTATTTTCAAACGCTTATATGATTGATAAATCACTCAAAATGGTAATTGCGCATTTACCAACACCACAAGTCTTTGGCAGCTGTTGAAAAAAATACATAAATTAGACTCTTCAACAGTGTCTACTTATCAATACTAGGTATTTGGTATTTTCGAATTAAAGGGTACCTTACGCAACACATGCGCTATCAGCTAGGTAATAGAACCTTAAAGTTTAGGCATAGCCATACCTAATTTACAACTACTGAGCAGAAGGAGAGTAATTAGTGAGAAGTACCTGTCGCCTACTCGGCTAATCTTTACTGAATGTCGGAATTTATTGTCATATTTATAAAGATATCGCAGTTCAAACTACGGAGAGTGTTATATCGCGTCTGGAACCTTGGGCCTTCAGACCCAGAGCCCAGAATTAAGCGCTTACAACGGGCTTACTACGCTAAGCTCGAGCGTTCTATTCCCCTTGGTGGACATAGCAGACAGCCCACTGTGCATTTGCTCTAAAAATACAAACGTTGTGAAAAGTTTAGCTTCTCAAATAATCGTTAATAAGAAAAAACTGAAACTTTTTCTTAAATCAATAACCCCTTTGAAGTAGCTGTATTTTATTCATTAATTATTTGTTAGTAGCAGAAATACTCGCCCTCCGGTCAGGTATAACTGCTAGTTTCTACGGAAGGCTATTGGGCATGCAGCCTTTTCTGGAATTGTCTGACAGTTCTACAACAATGAACTCATATTTGACATTAAATAATGTTCACCATCCATGAGAAAAAGGATTTTATTGAAATTTCAGTTTAAAAATGAGTTATCATCACAGCATTACGTCACAGAGTAGATTTTATTGAAGTCTTATTTTGTAGATGCAGTTATCAATGAAAGCGCCTTGCTTTTCTGTTACAATAATCATGAGATTTTCACTAAAGAAAAACAAATAATTTTTAAATTTGTTTTTTATTGTTTTATAGTTGAAACTTACTCGTTTTGTTTTGTCATTTTTATTGGATAAATCTGAAACTTATAATTTTTGTTGAAAGTTCAATTGTTTTATGTATTGCTCAGCAATAAAAATACTGCCTAGTTTTAAAACTATTACCCAGTAATGATTGGTGATGATCCGAGGTTTGGACGTATATATCGCAAGCTCCATTATCATAAGTTCCGATTGGTGATGATCCGAGGTTTGGACGTATACATCGCAAGCTCCATTATCATAAGTTACGATTGGTGATGATCCGAGGTTTGGACGTATATATCGCAAGCTCCATTATCATAAGTTACGACTGGTGATGATCCGAGGTTTGGGCGTATACATCGCAAGCTCCATTATCATAAGTTACGATTGGTGATGATCCGAGGTTTGGACGTATACATCGCAAGCTCCATTATCATAAGATACATAGCTACCATGACCTATTTAATAATCGCCCAATAGCTGTTTTGGTGTCAATATATGCAGAAGTATATCTAGTGTGAAGTTTATTTTGTTTATTTCTCCTAAAACAAGCGTTTTTCTTGGACTATTATGTTTTGTTGCTTACTGCTGGTAAAATGCCCTAATACTAGTAAAATGCCCTAATACTAGTAAAATGCACTAATACTAGTAAAATGCACTATTACAGTTGTAATATTACAACTCTCCAGTGAGACTTTGTTTACTAAAATAATCTTGTATATGTGAAGCCAGTTAAAATGAAAACAAGAATATTTTGTTGTTGTTGTTGTGTATTTTATTTATAGGGCCATTAATACATTGAACTTAATTGTGAGGGCTCGTTAACCGAATTAAATCGAATACGGTAAGCCTGAGCATGACTGTCATTTTATAGTATTGATACTTTAAAATAAAAATAAAATATTTGAGCCACCAGATTTCATATTAAAGGTGTTTGTCAGCAAAGCAATGCGTCACTGGAAAATTAGGTAATAGTTTCATGTTCATTAGCCAAAATAATTTCGTAATCTTATCATTATTTGTTAATGTATTTTCGAGTTTCGTTGACACAATCCGATACTTTCTGAAAAGTGAAACTGGACATATTAAACAAATATTGCCTAAATCCAAGTTTTCAATTCTATAACAGTTTTTGCTTTTCATGTTTCAACTTTGAATTACCTTGAGATCTAAATGACCCTATCTTTTTGTTTAAAAAAAAACACCTTTCTGGACTAAATATGCACCAAATTGCTTGTAGTTCTATAACACTTTTTCTTTGTTATAGAGCCCCTAGTGACACACGAGTCACACAAAAGTGTAAACAAATATACAATCCAACTTCAAATTATTCCCACTAATAACTGTTGGGGCCTTTTATGTATTTTGCATAGAAAATTGGCGATTTCACCCATTTTTCTTTGGGTCATAACTGAGTGATGTAACATGCAAGAAAAGTCCCTCGGTTAGTCAACGATAATTTAATAGATTTACAACGCTAAAATCCGATTCCCCATAGTAGACAAAGCGCAGATAGCCTATTGTGTAACTTCCCGCTAAAACAAACAAAATGACTCAAACATAATGCAATGTATGGACTCCACTGTAGTGAATGGTATGCAAACATGTCAATAATTTCAAGATTATCTTTTTTTTTTTTGCCTATTATGAAAATGTTTTTTTTTCCTTTTAAAATTTTGGCACAAAGCAGCACAAGGCTATTTGCGCATGGCCGTCCTTAATTTTGAACTGATAAACTGGAAGGAAGCTAAAATACTCAATATGCATTCACCGACAATTTTGTAGGCTACTTTTGTTTGACGAGATACTGGATTTTAAACGACTCCAAATGCAGAATCCTTTATTTGCGGCAACTGGCCACGACCCTTGAAGCATTCCGGTCTAATTACATCGCCAAATACAATCATAAACATTTCCTGACCCTTCCTGTATGTCCATTTTTTTAGTTTGTTTGGAACAAGTAGAATAACGTTAGCGACTAACAATAACTACCCAGTTTAAGGTTTGTTTGTTTGTAATTAAGCCCAAGCTATACAATGAGTTATCTGAGCTCTGCCCATAACGGGTATCGAAACCCGGTTTCTAGCGTTGTAAGTCCGTAGACATTCCGCTGTGTCACTGGGTAGGGGGGGGGGCTGTTTAAGGACCAACACGACTGTAATTGTCCGTAGTGCTTTCTCTGTTGGGGTTTCTACGTGAAACGTAAGCTATTTCACAATTTCTTTGTTTGCTTGTGTGTTATTCCAAGCAAAACCACATTTCTAAGTCCGTAAATTTACCGCTGTCCCATCTATTTTACAACTTGGCTGAATTGTTGGGAGTAATACAGGACATTTGGAACAATATTTTACAATCGATAAGTTGGAGGATGTTTAATTTGAACCGAGTTTAAACAAATGTTTTCAAATACGAGAGCATCTGTACTAAAGTGAATTTAATAAAAAACAAATTACTTATGTCCTAATTCCCAGAACCCCTTTTATCCAACCTGCTGTCATTTCTATTAAACATTGGAGATTCGTCATCTCAATTTTAAACAACATTTTCACTGTTGTCATTGCAATTCTGATAATGTAGCTACTTTTTTTCACGGTTTATTAAAATCCGTTTTCTTAGGATAATTTTAGCGTACGTTCCTTGTTTTAAAAGTCGGTTAAAGAATACTTCAAATTCGATTAATGCTTAGTATTGCCGTACCATTAGAAAACTTAATATCGTCACCGCACTAAACAAATCCAACAGAAAAACATTATGTCACAAGTTTTTAAAAAAAAATAATAATAGGTTCATAATTTTGGAATTATAAATAATGTATATGTTATTTTATTTTCCTTGGTTATTTTCAATATCTTCCTTTGATAATTTAAACTTTCGTTTTCCCAAAGGCGTCATTCAAGGACGCCAACAGAGGCAGACCCATTCTCGGGGAAGGTTCTCAAAAAGCAGTTTCCAGGAGACATTTCTAGTCAGGCCTACACTTTCGTTTTCCAAGAGGCGTCATTCGAGAGGGCCGACACCCCAGTTCGGGGAGGGTTCTCAAAGGGCAGGTTCTGGGAGGCATTTCTAGTCAGATCATAATGTAGGGTCCCCAGGTGAATTGAGAGGGGGGGGGCATGTGAGGTCAGCCTTCTTTGCCCCTTCAAGCCTTTTATGAAATAACAACAAATACTATAATGTACTTGTAGAGAGAGATAGAATTAACCTAGATTTCAGATAACAAAATAAATTACGTAAAATAGAAACTAATATCATGGAACAATAGTATTTACTGTCGTGAGCATATGTTTCTAACACTGCTAATATTACACTGAATTAAACGAAATCAAAAGCTTAGTACTTACAGTGCTAGGCGTTTTTAATGATCATCACTGTTCTGAATCTTTCATAATGATTTGTTTTTATTTTCAACCGTCGAAACGTTTATTAGGAAAAAGAGAAAAAACAGCATG